TATACAATGTATTAAAGATTACAAATAAAACATTTTATTATGAAGTTTACTAATGTTATTCTAAAGGGCATCTATACTTCTTAGTATTTTCATCGTGTGGCGTCTATATCTGTAGGTAGGCATCTATCCTCAATAAAAATAGGTTTCCAAAAATCCAATTTATTCAAAATCTGTAAATGTGTAATGTAAAAGATTAAACTAGTTATACTCATAGGAATTATTCATGGTAAACTAATATTCTTTTTAAATTAGGAGGCCCTTTCAAAAAGTGTGGCATCTATCCCGGTTTTACTCTAGTCCGAAACAGCCAAATTAAAAAAGAAACGTACCTAGTCGTTTAACACCGTGGTCTGAATCGCGACGGTTCTAGAATAACGAAATACTCACAAATTTACAGTATGTATCACGCATTTATGCAAGTTGTTTACTACTCAAATAGCAGTCCTTTTCGACCATTGTACTTAACTACTTAACTAAGTATAACACACGTACTACTAATGTTTATTTGTTTAAGTTTTTGTTCAACGTGTGTTTATGATAGGTACGATACCCACGCTACATGGCAATTTTTATATTTTTAGGAAATATTAGTAACCGAATCATACTTACAATAATATGTTCACATTACCTATTTTAATATTAGATTGGACAAAAAATGCAAGCGATATAAAAATATAAATGAAAAAAACATTTTAAAACAAATAAATATCGAACTTTGTATTGGCCATGACAGAATGTCCCTTTCATAAAACTCCCTGGCTTTACTTATAAAATACAGCCCTAAGTGTCGTTTGATTGTCGGGCGAATACTGTGAATGAGGATGCATCTAACTGCGATAGTTTTAACGTGTTTTTGAAGATAAATACAAGTGTGATTGGGCATTATGATTATAAAATACTACACCTTTACTATTCACAAGTTCTGGGCGTTTCTCATTAATTATAAACTAAAACTTTTCCGCCTACACTTAAAATGCGCGCTAAAATAATTTTTTTTTTTTTATCTTACGTTGTTACCATTACATTTTGATATTAAATTTTAATATTAAAAGATTTTTTTCTTTAAAGTTATCTAGCAGCAAAAACCGCACGGAATCTTTGGCTAACCCATTATTTAAGTAAATATTCCTGGACGCTCAAATCGATTCTAATATATGTATTTATGTAGATGGAAACCTAAGTAAGTTTCTTGCCAGCTGACCTTATACTGGGTGGCCTAAAATTTACACCGGTCTAACATTTATATACGAAGACGTCATAACGACCAATTTAAAATTAACATTATTGCCGCGCAAAAATTTAACTAACGTTTTCTTACAAATAAGAGTAGAAATTGAGTTTTAGTTTGTAGTGGCTTAATACACGTGAAGTTAATTTATACAGACGGTATAATAGTTATAGGTACTGTTACAATTCTATATTTATAATTACTTAGTCTAAAATTTGCTTTTAAAGCATTGACTTTTTAAAGTCATAAATTGTAATTTTTTTCTTCGCGAACTTTTAAACAATTTAAAATATTGTTCGTGAAGAAATAAAAAATCACCAAAAGATTAAAAATAACGTCGCAATCTAATAATAAATTTAGAAATGGCACATTGCATGCTAGTTACATTAGCATAATGCCTCCAAACCAAATTTCAATTGATTTAGCGAAATTGCTTACAAAGTGGAATGATTTTGGTGACTACAATAGAAAATTTTCATAAATGCACAGAAATGTCTGCGAAAATCAATAGCTTAGATTTTCGCTGAGCTAATGTTTATTTTTTAGACAGGTCGTTACTACGTACTGCATATACAAAATATTTTTTTGGACCCAATGTAACCCGAAATATACAGATGTTGTTGGCTAATAACATTTATATACATATTTTAGGAAATGTTGTGAAATAAGGTGTAGGGCTCTTTGTCATTATTGATACCTAATTGTGCGCGTTATACAATGGCAGCATTTCAGGCAATTATTTAATATTCGTGAAACTACGACACTACATACTACATAGCCAGAAATTTTATTCCAAGTGCCAGGTGAATACGTGTCTCGCAAAAATCTGGACAACAGAGGCAGTTCTTGCAATAACGTAGTCTTTTAGGAATACATGTATTATATACATGATATTCAGCAACGGAATTCTGGGACACTTCCCAGAACACCCAGCCCAGAACCAATTTAGAAGAGATCATTTCCCAAATTGATCTTACACTGAGTCTGGGACCTGGGACCTCTGTGTCCAGCGTCCACAATGTAAACCGTTAGGCCACCAATATCGTCAACATATTATACTCGTATTTAGTTGATTTAGAGTTTTTATTATGCCCAATATTAGATTTTATATTATGCCCAACACCGGTTTGATCTCACTACGGTTGTGCTCAAAAACCAAATAGCTTTGAGACATTTTCAGCGGAAAATAGACCTAATCCCTGTAAAACAAAATGGCCGACAAAGACGGCATAATTTAGGCTCACCCGTCCGGTTCGGCCGAGCCCAAGTCATTAGTGTCCAATAGCTTTGATTATTGCCTCCCACTGTTATAGTATGTAGCGTTATTTATTTGATTACATCACTATTTTGTAATGACGTCTATATTATTAAACAGGACGGATCCATTGAATTCGAGGAGTTCATACGAGCACTGTCGGTGACGTCGCGTGGCAATCTCGATGAAAAATTACATTGTGAGTATACTTGCAAATGTCTATGTCCTCGTGGTTTAGACACAACCTCAATACTTTGACTACCAACACAGTCCTAATTTATCGCTCACATCTTCTATAATCCATGATAGGTGTTTTTACAGATTCATTCTAAAAGGTCAACTAAAATTTTAATATTTAGTTTATTTTGTATTTCATAAGTTGACTGTAATGACAGCCTACTCTATACTAATCCATCGATGCAAATTTCCAGGGGCCTTCAGGCTGTACGATGTGGACAACGACGGCTATATTACGAGGGACGAAATGTATAACATAGTCGACGCGATTTACCAAATGGTGGTATGTATCTTGTTACACCTAAATGAACTTACTTACCTAAATGAGATTGTTTTTAAATTTAAGCTTGTTGCGCTAGCTACATGTAAGTACACGAGTACGATACCAGCCTATTTATCTACAGTGATTCAATTTTCTCAATGTCACTCAGCAATCATCTTTTTTCCGAATGCACCCGAATATTAATTTCCATGCCCATTAATTATTAGGTTAAAATGTATAATAATTTGAATTTTGAACAAAGTACGTTATTGTTGTGTTGTTTTGATTTCCGTGTGATTTATACAAAGCTGTGGAACTATTTCCCAATTTTTTATAACATTTAGGTTCTCCATGTCAATCAGCAGGTTAATTATAACCGAACTTCAGTACAGAGTACTAAAAAAACCGACCTCAAAATTAATTCATCCCCTAGTTTACCCTGAGGGGTCGAATATTTTCTTCAAATTTAAATGAGACCATTTCTGAGGTACCCTCTTTCCAACAAAAAAGAATCATCAAAATCGGTTCACTAATGGCGGAGTTATCGCGTAACATACATACAAAAAAAACATATAGTCGAATTGTGAACCTCCTTAAAAATATAAAGTAAACGAAAGGAAAAGGAACTGATTTATCCTTTATATCATATTCCTTTAAAATATTCTTTACTGTTCCGATTGAAACACTACGTAGTACAGAAACGTGTTTTTGGACTTTTTGAAAATAACCATTGTTGTGTTTCTTGAATGTATCGGCTTCTTGGAAAAAATACAAGTACATGCTGTAAATTATCTGTCGTGTCTGTGACTTTAGCGACTTTTTTCCCATTGCATTGCATAATAAATAAAAAATGTAACAGCAACTCTATAATACTTCCGAGTCCACTGAAAGTGTCCGATCTGTACTAAAGGCAAAGGGCAAATGAATACAACCCGATCACAGCCGAAATACGAAGTTTGCCGAGTGACATTGCGAAAATAGAAGCACTGTATGCCCTCAATTTTAAAACGATTAAAAACTTTTTGATTTTGAACCAAACAGTAATTAGTTATTTGAGTTACGAAACTAAATGAAATGTTACTAAATTATTTTTTTTCCCCACAACACCATATATTTCTGTATCTATTCACACATAAATTTTCCCATATAAGCACATTAATTTATGTACCTATTAATTTACAATACCTACTATTACATAAAGTCATTCTAATAAGGTAAAGCATATAACGTGACATATGTAGCGTAAAGAAAAAAACAGTGGCAAACATGGATCTTCAATAAAAAATAATTAAGTATTACATGGCATCTCGCAAATTAACTTGTTTACCTATATTTCGCACTCTTGGTGTAGTAAGACCATATCTACAAAACTATACATATTTTCATGAGAGAAGTTTTTAAGATTCTAGTAACGAAATAAGTCGATAACTTTTTCATACATAATTTTTTCGTGTAAGAAAACCAAGCGTGTCACATTTATTATACAGTCAAGAGCACATCAAGCTTGACACGTCGGACTTCGGACCGTTCTTATTGCAAGCGGCGTAGAGTTAAAATTAAACCTTTAGTGCCACCTAAGCAGCACACCCATATCTAAATATATACTAAAAGGTATCTAATAGAATTTAATTCGATTGGATATTTTAAGAGTTCAAATTCCCTCAAGATATCTCGAAGAAAGTTTCTAGATAACTTAAAGTAAAAGTGGGCACAACTTTATTAGTAGATCACAAGAGTGCTTTGAGAAACTATCTGCAGGTAGTGTTAAGAGTGATTCTTATCTTTTTTCTCAAGTAACTCTTCTAGAATGAAGACCATTTGTAGAATGTAGACAGTTTTTATTTAGTCTTGTACACAGTTTTTAGATAATTTATAGTCTATGATAGTTTTTTTAGTAATCCTATTTTAAAACAAAAATACTAAAGCGTTACAAACATAAGACGCAATTCTCTTAATACTAATAGATTTCAAGTTTAATGGCTTACAAAATATAAACTATCAAAATTGCAACATGGCGAAATTAGATATAATATTTCTGACTTTTTCGATGTTTAATCGGTTAGAAAGCGCAAACTGAGGTGCGTCTTTAAATACATTGTGAAAAGTGACGTAAAACCTGCCATAAAAGTAATGCGTTCGCTAAATTTAATATTTATGTATTAAATATAAACTTAATAAAAATACAGTTATCGATTTTCGGTTTTAAATATTTATAGAAAGCTTAAATATACAAAATAACTCACAAAACAAACCATTTCCAAGAAGTTCTAGGCTTTTTCAAGGTAATTTTAACTTAGATTTACTTTTTAAAAAGAAAAGAATTTTTTCTCGTCTACTTCATAGTCATTTTTTTTAAATAAAAATGGCGATAAGAATTTAAAGCTTTTTCAAAACACAGTTGGGAGCATTTTATCTATAGCTTTATCTATAGAAAAACTTTACAATACAAAAAGATTATTTTTACTTGCTTTAGATTACTTGACCTTGTAGAAGAACTTACACTCCTATGAAGTTTTTATGATTGTCTACAAAACGCGATATTTCTAAGCGATTTTTTCTTTTGACAGTATTACAAAATCTTTATAAAGTTAAAGGAAATAGTGAGCGTATTATGCATAAAAAACTTTTCAAAACACTAGGTCAAAAAACAATTTAAAAAATCCAATTTGTCGCAAAAAAACGTTATTCTGTATAATTATATGGAATGTGTTATACAATGACTGAAAGGTGGATAAATTTCCTATCATATAAATATAAGGAATATTTTAATGACTTACCTAATTTATGTTGGAAGAAATAAAATTTTCATTAATAATTTGAGGTTTCACTGTATTCTATTGATAGACGGCACAACACACATACACAACATTGAAGTACAGTAGTTTACGCGCTCATTTGAATTGTTTTTATCATTTCACAACACAGAATTACTTCACAAGTTTATTTATTTGTCAACAAACAAATACCGGCCATGATCGGCCCGAGCGCGAATTACGACTATTGCATCCAGCGTTGCCAATTTGTGGGGAATTCCCCAAATTGTGGGGAGTTTCAACTAGATTGGGGATTTTGTGGGGATTGGCGCTATGTGAGTAAAATGTGAGGATTCTAACATTTTATCATTTTGTTTAATCTATCAATTGCTGATGCATCGCTAGTTCGATCGTTACTGTTAGACACACTGTGATGGACTATATCGACGTGTTTTTTAACATTGCACAACCCTCGTATTATTAACAAGCATCTTAAATAGAATTATTATTAGAGCACTTGGTTCTGAATTGTATCTTGGTTGTGAAATTACCAGTCCGTGCGTGTTGAGTTCGCGATTTTTTCTCGCGCTTAGGCCGGTCTCCGGTATGAAGCAAAACCAAATCAGCTATTGATAAACAAAGCCCAGCAGTTGGTACTTCCACACCACAACTTACCACTCGTCAACTTTAAATATTAAATATAGGTCGAAACTCATTGATTATTTCTAACGTTAACATAGTGTCACCAAATGCACAACAAATAATCAATTTACTTAATTTTGTAAGGCAAAGAAAAATGATTTTTTGGTCAGACTGATTACAGATTAATGTTGAATATAATTCATATTATAATTAATATAACTGCCTCCGTGGCCGAACGGTTACCATGCCGGACTGCCATGAAGAGGTCCCAGGTTCGATTCCCGGGGCGGAAGAAATATTTGTATGCCCTACATTTATTTCTGTCGTGAGTTTGGGTGTAATTTGAAGTTGTCTACGTGTGTGTCCATGGCCCCTGCGACACAGGGTTTCCCTAGTGCGGGGCTATGTTGAGTGTGTACGTTATTATTATTATTAAAATAAATAAACGAGTTAAGGTTATCCAATTTTATAATTAGCTTACTTTTTACATTCTGTTTACATTCACAGCAAACGTAGTAGATTATTACATTTTGAGTTTCTTAATTCTTTATTATATTCTTAAGAGATGTATTTCTAATAAATAATGAAAATTCGAGATGTGAGGAATTTGTGGGCCTTTGCTCTCCCCAAATTTCAGGATTTTAACCGTGATTTTTGGAGATTTTGAACAATTGGTGGAACATTGGCAACGCTGATTGTATCGAATGAAGTGATGTAATGACTTAATATCCAAGGTTCACCACCTCCACTAGATCTTTTAATATTCTTTACTTTATCCATTTTGCATGGACTCTTACAACGTCCAATAGAGTAAAAAAAAACCTAATTGAAGTATTTTTTTAAATAAAATCTACTGAAGACGTGCTATAACGTGTTTGTCAATAAGTACAAACACTACAGCCTATAAATTAAATATTTCTGAATAAACTTAAGAACACTAGTTTTTAGAGTATTAATAGACTTTACTGGATGTGTATAGAACAATTTTACTAAAAGTAATCAGTTGTTCTACAGATGAACTTAAAATAAGGACTGTAAGAGTAAATCTTAAGAGAGATTACACTTAATTAAGTTGTTTGGTATTAAGAAGGTGTTAAAATTTTGAACAATTTCTTTTTTCTAACACCATTTATACAGAACTATTATCTAAATCAATATCATATTAAGACTGTTTATAGATATAACAGTGTTAAGGCGTATAAAGTGTGCTCCTAAGCTTGACGTGCTCTTGATCCTCTACGTCTGATGACGTCACAAGCGCTATTTAGTGATGGGAAACCTTCGGCACTAAAGCGATTCGCTAAATCGAAGACGCGGACGCAGCACGTATTTAGAATAATGCGTTTTTGCCGGTCGAGAAGTACGAGTAATCGTACAGGTGTGACGTCATTCCGGTTCGGTTTCGAATACGACAGTTTGACGTTCGATTCGCTTATTGTGAATAAAAATTAAAAGAAATCGTAAGATATCTATTCGAAGCGGTCGACAACAGAACTATCGCAACGTTCTGAATCGACATGCTGAATCGAGAACTGTGTTGCATCAAGTGAACATCACAAATCATCAAAAAAAAAGAACCACACAATACCGCACCAACTAAAAGCCGCAATATATATTACGAATCATGCGGCACACACTCGTTTACGTATTTGTTTTCTCGAAATTCATTCAAAATGAAAATAATTTATTTTAAAATAAATATTATTCTGATTACAACATTACTCGACTGTGAAGGAAACGTCCCTGTTTATTCATAGCTGTGGTATTTTTACACTTTGAAATAGCACAATTAGGCATTTTTCTCGTTTTCGACGGTATTTAACTACGATAATGGCCGAGCGCGTTCTGACATAGACAACTGCGTGCAGTCAAGAGCATGTCAACCTTGACACTTTGTACTTTGGACCGTTCTTATCGTAAGCGGCATAGAGTTGGATTCAAATCTTAAGTGTCAAGCTTGACGTGCTCTTGACCCTATACATAAATGAAACTTTCTAAAGCGTAGCAGCGGCAACTATAAGCGTTTATTATATACATTATACACGCGAAGTAGGACACTTGAGGCGTCTATTTAGATATATGTCTGTGAGTTTGTATTGTTTAGCATTGTTGACGAATAAGCGTTTCTTCGTTAAACGAAGTTTACGATTTTATACAATAAGAAAGGTTACCGCTATTGTATATGGTATGAAACCACAGAACATTAAATACAGTAGAAGTGGTTAGTTGGCGTCGGAAGTGTGCCAACTATAGGTCTCGAAAGACCTATCGGAGCTCAGTCCACGATTTTCGCTTCGTATGGTATATTTGTGTCATTATTTCGTGCAAATTTTCTAAAATCCTAGAAAAATGCTTTATTGTTTTAGAGTGCAAGTATGATAGCCGCACCATAAATATTACCCATTGTGGTATTTTATATAATCGGAAAGTTAATAAATTTTCAATTTTCTGTTTATCGAAATATATTGTTTTGTTACAAAAAAGGAAAGTAAAGCTTATACCCCTGCAATATAGTCTCTTCTTTTTTAGAGAATTAAACTAATAACTCCAATTCGTCGTTGTTCAGCAATTGACCGATAGATGGCAGCATATTGATTGAAATTTCAATATAACGTCAAAACGTCGTGACTTGCACTAATTATTATGTATTGATGGTATTGAACTTTCAACCTTCTTTCAACGATATGCCAACAGGGTAAAGTTTAAATTATATTAACAATTCTCAGTTTGTTATTTCTTTTTAAATTTAAAGCTACGACGAATCAGTATCAAGATTTCGTAGCCTTCCGTGTATGAAACCATTTATCAGTATCATGTTACGTTATCTTTTTTAAATGTTAGTAAAGTAGACGATGTGGGCTGTATGAGAATGGAGTGAAGAAAACCATAGAAATGAACAGAAATACAGATGAAACGCAATAGCAAATACATATAATTCACGACACAGTCTGACAATCAATACATCAATAATAATTATAAAACAAAAACATACCAAGAAGAATAGAAATAAGCTAGGAGTTTTTTTACAGTTACATACAAATATAAAATAATATAGTTACGGTCACTTAATTATGATTAAAGTTTAATACACTAATTTATTTATCATGTTGTGTTCACATCTAGTTGGGTACATTTTTCTCATATCACAATCTTTCTGGTGAAATTACAGGCACACGGGACTTGTCAATTTACGTCTCAGGGTGTCGGGTGCAATGGCAGTGGCCCCTCAGTTATTTGAGATTTAAAGCTCTGAGTGGCACTGCAACTGTTATGAATAGGCGTATCGCTTACCATCAGGCACATAATTTGTTCGTCCCTTCATTTGGTGTTAAAAAAATTTGTCGAAACATTTTATGATTATATCGAAATTGTATGAAACTGCTAGAAAACTGAATTAGCAATTTATTGATTTTTCAGGGACAAACCCCGCAGCCTGAAGACGAGAATACACCTCAGAAGCGCGTTGACAAGATCTTTGACCAGATGGACAAGAATCACGACGATCGACTGACACTCGAAGAATTCCGCGAGGGTAGCAAAGCAGACCCGCGCATTGTCCAAGCGCTCTCGCTGGGTGGCGATTAATCCACGGTTATCCTCTCGCCGGACTTCACATTTACTTAAGAGAGCCAAAGTCGGAACACCGCCGCGCGTGTCACTTATTTCCTTGTTATTGTTGTAACATACATTAATGTATTACATAATGTAACTAAATTTAGATAACAATAAGTCCTGTTTTGAAAATCGCTTACGGCAAATAATCAAGTATAATAAAGTTATGTAACCGTTTATGCCATTAATAGATAATTATTTAATTTTGTCAACTATTTCACTTAACTTTTATACCAGCAAACATGTCCAAGCCAATTCTTTTACTTTTATGTTGAAATAAAAAATAGATTCCACGTGATAGTGCATCCCACCTTATAATAGTTGTAATAATAGTTCTAAGTATGTTTAATTAAGTTAACGCTCAAATACGGTTTACTGGTCACAACAGTGTGTAAAGTCAGTCGAAATTTACTAACAGCAAAGCTAGGTATGTTTTTAAAATTTTTGAACCATATCAGTGTTTTTCTAAAATAGCGTCCTGTCTCAAAAACATCTAATTCATCAGGAAATGGCTTAAAAAAACTGAGACATGTCTGCCGCGCAAAGTTGGCTTATCGTCGACCATCCCTATGTTGTCATGTAATTATTCTAACCAATGAAAAACTTGGAATCTTAATCACAACAAAATTTGGCATTTTTGAAATAAATCACAGTAATAAGTCAAAAAGTAAGCATTTTGGAATGCGACACTATATAATATTATTGAAAAGCAATGATATGGGGACCTGATGGGATCCGTAGACACGTATTAAAAGTGCTAATTAGGTGATTCAGCCACACGCGGCGGTTGTTTAAGGAGTATGTCTAAATACAACAATAACTATTTGCCAATATGAATACTGTGCAAAGAGCGAGGGTTTTATAAACTCAACACAAAACTTGTCAACTTTCTAATTCTTTCTTATATTCTATAACACATTTTTACTTATTTCTAACACATACGTTAACGACATAGTTTCAATTTCATTTTCATTAAAACACCTACTTCATGCTTTTAGGTTATCTTAGTTATCACCTTACTTTGGCTTTGCTTTTTTAAAAATTGCGTAGGTACCTACATATTTTGTAAGAGGTGTTTCTGCCCCTTTAGATAGATCTTATATTTTAACAGTCCTTTTTTCTATCTCCAAGAAATGTTTTACGAGATCAGACAAGAGTCTATCGAACCAAGCAGCCAATCCACCAGACCTTAATATTTACAGGATTGTTTCTTCTAAATGTAGTTGGTATAATGCTACGCAATTTTTCAAATCGACTTAGATAACGTAATTTTAATTACATTTTAATTACGCAACAATTGCATTTTTCGTAACTTGTGTCCACTTGCACTAAACTTAAATATGTCTTAAACCAATGCTTGCAATGCAAATGGCACTCTTAACATAGTGTTAAGAGTGTCTTATTAATTTAAGCGTTGGTTTAAGACGTACTTTAGTTATCTCTTCAATGCGGGGTATTAGGTCACCACCAAGCAAGGATCTAATTATGTTCATTGTAAAGGAAAGAAATTATCAATATTAAATGCTTATGGATTCCTCGCCATCCATTTCGTGTTGGCAAATTTATGATACGCTCTTTGAAAAGTGAATGTTGAAAATACGTTTTGCTACTGAGTTTGCTTATTCTATGTTGATCAGCTTAAGTTTACACAGCGGCTTATGCTTAGCCCGTCGATGACTGGGCGCCATCCGTGCGAGAGATGATCTTGGGCTTTTTGGCCAATTTATATTAAACTAATATTTGATAAATTCACTATGAATTTACTCGTATTATTTCACAGCATAGTTATATGGTTTGCAGTTAAGTAGATTTAAGTTTTTCTCATAATTCTATAATATGCTACGAACTTTATAAAACAACTCTACCTATATAGTAGGTACCATTAAAAAACCTATCGAAGCCTCGCGCAGCGTTAGAGTTCCATAGCGCTATATAGTGCTACTTTAATGTTGCCACAGTGCTACTTTACTGTTGCCACTGTGCTAATTTTAAATACCTGACATCACATTAAAATTGCGTACATCTCACACATAATTGCTGTAAACAATATGTATTTACTTAACGATAAATAAAATACTGCCCAACTAAATTGGATCATAATTTATGGAACAGGTGTCTAAAAAACTGCCCAAGCATTATTCCCTAGATTTAGTGGTAAAATCACTAAATGGGCAACACGTGGCTAATATCTGTTATACGCGCTATATGTATAGTTCTATGCAGCGCTAACATCACGGTGCACAAAGTTTTACACTAATGAAACTTATGAAGTGTAATACAAGCTTGTAATCAGTAGAACCTCTGCAATTACCTATATTCTACCACGCCCATGGTACAGAAGGTTGATATTAAAACAAAAAATAAATTTATATTCGAAAATGAAGTTTTGACGGGCATTCCTAACACTTGCATACACGTAAATTTCAAGCAAGTCTTAGAATACGTTTTTCATAATACTAATACATCATATTACTCAACACTCGATTTACTCTTTATTCATATTGTACTATACAGGATAAGGTGTCTGCAGCAGTACTACAGTATCTACATACGTATATTGGTTACTGAAAAGACGTTCACCAACACTATCTTTGCGTACTTAAAAGTGTACGATATTTGTGAGAATAACTCGTTACAACGTTATCTACTGTTATTGTTAATAATATTTAGGTTTTTAAGATAACGCCCCATTAAAATATTGGTATTTTGGGACAATACAAATCTTTTGGCGTAGGTACACGCGTTTTGGGTTTTTACAGCCCCTTACTGTTAAAAATGTTCTTGTTGTAATAATATGCAGATGGCATAGCCATCAAGTTAAATAAATACAATACTTGCAAGTTTAATGAACATCAAAAAGTCTTGGCTTATTAATATTAATAATAATTCCATCTAGAAAGAAAAAAATCAGATAGCAATTTGGTGTGTAGTGATAAAATGTTTCACGAACGCGATTAAAATTATGGAATGAATGTAGGGAGATAAACTTTTAGCAAGATTTGTTGAAACATTGAGAAAAATGATGTGTAAAGCTCTCGTGCTGCTCTCTCGCCGAGATAAATTAAGAAATATACCTACCTATAAAATTTTCAGTAGTTACCTAATTTAAAAACACAAGTTTCTCATGTCTTAGAATAATCAAGTTGTAGATTACGTATCAGGATATTTCAATTTGAACTATACTTGCACCTTTTTCAATATGGCGTGGTCACTAAGTAGATAAGATACATTATAATTAGGTAGTTGTAAATATCTCAGTAATTTAATGATGTCCACGAAACATCACGGGGAATTGAGTGGACCGAAGCTTTGACCACGTCCTCGGCTCCCTGTTACATCTGCCGGTCCATCCGTGGCGTGGAATCCACCGTTGAAAAAGCATGCTATTCTTTATATCATCTTTGCCAAATATACAACTTTATCTATTTGTACAAGACTACTCTTTGGATAATATCGACTTACATTTCTCTCCATTCTTTTCGCAAATTCTGAAAATGTATATTTTGGAGGACTTTTGGATATTTCCGTTAGCTACTCTCGACATAATAATAATGTAGGATACTATTTTTAAAGTTAAAACTCTACTTATTCATAAGAATTCTATACTATAGCTGTACTTAATAAAAAGTAAAAATGTTATCTTTTGCTTAAATATTCTCTTACGATATTTATAATGGATTTGTAAATCTACTACAATAATATTTCTGCTATTCATTGTGAAGGTTCGACCTTTGTGGAAGCTCGACAATCGTAGTGTAATAGTTGTTTGAATCGCAAGTCAATTTGTGTGTTAAAAATATTGGTAGGCGTAATAAGCATTTTTCAAACGAACTAGAGTAGGAAATTGTTGCAGGCTGTGCATTTTGTCTAGACTTAAGTAGCAGAAAATGCGCATACTTTGTAATGTTGAGTTTGTGAGATGATACGGAGAAAAGAACAACTTTGCTTGTTATGTAGCTAAGCTAAAATGTGTAAAAATACTTTATTATTATATTATATATTTTGTTCCGTTGTAGGCAGCGTCAATTCATTAGATACTGATTTGTCAATAATGTTCTCATTCATACCTAACTTCTTCTTTCTAAATTTGTGAATTGTACAGTTACAATTCACAAAGTTAGAAATTTAGAAATGATACAGTTATCATCTGTAGTCAATCAATAACCACCCTATACATACGATATTACTTTAATAGAATAATGAAAAACCAGTTTTAATAAAATAGCCCTTACTTTTAAGTTAGGTACGTATTTAAAACCTATTTGTTATTTTGTGGTATGATATTAATTTTCGTGTTACACATTACATTTTTTGTATTTAATCATAGATATATATATTGAGTGTTGTAAGTTTCACGCCGTAACAAATTTATTGGGACGCCATCATCCGACCGATTGTTGTAGGTGAGAGTTGGATTAATATCCAGCGCGGTAATCCGCGCGACTGATAATTTCGCGCGACTGATAATTTCGCGCCTCTGAATATCTCAATAACTACACACTCCTTAGAGTTTACAGTGCCCCAGTATCATAACCTGACACGTATTACTCCCCGCACGCACGCTCTCACTTCATTCTGAGCGATCATTCGAAAGCAATGCGTAGGTACTGTAAGTTTGCATACTTACGTTTGCGCACTACGTTCGATTCGTATCAGTTCCAAATCCGAGAAATGACGGTCCGAAATGTCACATCATCATTTTATCTCTAGGTGTACAAGCGATATTCGTATTTTCTCGAATTCTAATCGGATTTAGTGCACAAGCAAAATACGAAGTGGGTCCGAGTTTTCTAGATTTGTATAGTTTCGGATTCGCAACGAATACTAATCGGGTGCAGTGCGGAAACGCGCTTATTCAATATAATTGTACGGGTGTTTTTGATAAAACATAAGCCACATAAAATTTGTATTTTAGTTATTGCTTTAACATATTTGAAAGGTTAAAATATTATATAAAATATTATAGTAGAATCGATCTGCAAAATTATTTCGGAAATATAGTTTGCTTTTTAAATTATTTTGTGGTTTGAAAGAAAAGTGACTGTATGAACAAAGTGCTTTGAACACGGTATTACCAGATTTGGGCACGGAATTGTAAACTAATTTTCATTTATTTGGCAAACATGTTGAGTGGAAGATGGAGCAGAAAAGAAGAAACGAAGCTAAAGAATAACCCGCTAAAAGCAAAGTTGCGAACTGCAACGTAAACAGTTAGAGGGATAAGTTTGTGGAAAACGCGTATATATAAAAATGTCAAAATAATAAAGATAAGCAAACATTTCAAAGTGAAAAAGAAAGCTACAAAATATCGAAAGAATGTATCAATAGTAGTGAACTATTTTTAAGGCTGAAGACAACATCTTAATGTAAACATCTTATGAAAAGTCTGCCAGTTCTTTAAGAAAATAAGTAGAAAGAAGGCAAATTTTATTCACCTATTTGTTTAACTTTACTTATTGTTAACATTTGAGTATTCGATTATCTTGCTGTAAAAGATTTACTTATTACACTTATTAATACACACGAATGTATGCCAGCTTCAAAAATTGTTTTTGTATTTACATCATACAAATTTATTTGGGCACGGTTTTATTAGACTTGAGCACGATATTATCAGACCAGTTTGATGATACCGCGTGTTCCTATTTTTTGGTAATTTTGCAACAGCTGCCTTCTGTATTTGTTTATGAAGATTATGCTGTACTATACGTGGAGCCAAATTACTTACCTACGACTATACATTTTGTTTTTATAAACCCAGCCTAGTTTAATTATAGGCCTCATTGCGTAGTATTATAACCCAACTCTCCCCTACACGTTCCTCATGTAGCCAGTATAAATTTGAGAAAGCGTTGTAATCCATTTGATTTTTTGCTATATAAAAGCCGGTCCCTAAAATCAGCGATGTTATATGTCTTATGTTTCAGTTTGTGGAAATCTGCACAAGCCTATAGTTGACTACGCAAAATCCGTACTTTGCGCGTGAGAATAAAAAACATGGAATGTGAGAATAACTCTTACGTATAGGTCTTAGACTATTTATCCTCTATGCTATACGTACGCATCACGTTTCACTCAATTTTGTATGACCGCAGCGTCCACTACAGATTCTGCATCGTCTGTCATAGGCTTGAAATTGCTAATACGTGGAAATATGTTTATAATAGTATTTTAAGTGTTTGTAAAACAATTCATTTTATTAATAGTGAATAACTATAATAAATTAAGTACATTCTTACGTATCTAATAATAACCCAACAAAAAATATTACATGTGTTAAACATAATGCTAAGTACTAATTTAAGGCTTGCCTAGAACCTAGTAACTA